TCAATATCCATTTAGTTCGTATATCGATAAAAATCACCTCTCGCATTTAACTTTAATCCAGTGTACCAAAACTCCACACTCGAATTCATAATTTCTAAAATTCTTGTCGGATCAAGTAGACAAACAACGCTTGAGACACTTTTATTATCATTGTAAAGTAACCATTTTACACAAAAAAACCAACATAGATCATAACACGAAGGCTATAAATACATACGCAAATGAAAGAATGGAACGTTTATCACGAATATATCTTAAAATACTAGTCTTCTCTGCTTGTAGATATCTAGCAACTCAATATTTTTGTAAGTGTTCGAATATTTTTGTCATTTTATAAATCTCATTTAAAAAAGTAGTACTAGCTTCTGCTAATTCTCAAGTTAACTTGACCCAATTTGTTTTGTGTTAAATTTTGCAACATAGACTTAACTATGAAAATTCATTAATGTAACAGTAATCAACCAGCTGCTACGTTTTTATGGAAAGCCAACGGGGTCAATATTCTTAATTCGTGAATTGTCAATTTGTAACTTGTATCTTTGTAATTTCAAAATTCATAATTCGTAAATTGTCAATTTGTAACTTGTGTCTTTGTAATTTTAAAATTCTTAATTCGTAAATTGTCAATTTGTAACTTGTATATTTGTAATTTCAAAATTCTTAATTCGTAAATTGTCAATTTGTAAATTGTCAATTTGTAAATTGTCAATTTGTACATTTGTAAATTGTCAATTTGTATATTGTCAATTTGTAACTTGTAACATGTCGATTCTTTACAAGTCGATGTGTTAAATGTCATCGTTGTATTATGCTAACGATCATTATGACGACAGATGGCGCTCGGTTTCTTTTTCGGTGTATAAGCCTCTTGTAAGAAGGAGTACCTCCATATGGAGTATATACCTAAGTAATTTTTGAAAATTAATTATGTACAGCAAATGCATCTAAAAGAAACAAATAGATTTTTTTTTATATTATATGTATACAGGAACCCGGTTTTATTTTGTTTTCGGAAGACCACAGGTGGTGTTTCGTTCGAGAACAGAAAATATATAAAAATACAACCCGAATACTTCAGTCCCTCCACGTAATCGATCTCTCCTACTTGCGAGGTAAATGAAGTAGTCGTAGATCAGCGGAATATAACGACTGAATAATTCTGGTAAATAGATATATAAGGAGATGTGGTAATAAACCGTATGATTGCCAATGAGACAACTATCCACCAAAGTTCATTAAATAAAGTCGATGCAAGCAATTATAGGCAACGTACGGCCTTCAACAATGAGAAAAACCCATATCATATAGTCGGCTATAAAAGGCTAAATCATTACTGGAAAACCCGGGTATTGACGGTTTCTATTAATCATAAAATGCTTTTATCGGACCATTTTATTCTGACTGAGGGGAAGGGCTGACAGATATATACATATATATATATATATAGATTGCCTAACAATGTAATTTTAACACACTATTTAGTATGTAAATATAAGAATGTTTAAAATATTTACAAAATGATGAAAATAAACGCAATATTTCGCTAGACTAACTAGCTTTATCAAGCGTGCATCTATCCAGGTGAAATCGGATGTAGATGATAAGAAACTTTTGCAGCTCAATGTATATGTTGAACCTGAATTTAGCTGCCTTGAAAATAATTCATAATTTGGATGAAGTTCAAGATTTTTACAAAATTTGTAGTTGAAGTTAGCAACGTCCATTGGCCAATATTACAGGATGAAAAGGACGATGCTGTGTACTAAATTATTCTTTATCTTTCCTGTATCTTTTCTCATCTTTTTCGTTAAGACCATCAGGTTCTAAAGTGTGGAGTTGGTGGATCCAAAAATTTTCTCTTCTCCTTCTCGCCGTGGTGTCCCACTCGGTGTTGACTTCTATGATTTGGAAAGTAACATTATCAAAAGAATGTTTCGTTGAACGAAGATGTCTTGTGAGAGGACAGCTTTTGTTGGTGTTGTACCATGAACGATGGTTATTGAGCCGAATATTAAATTTGTCCATTGTTTCTCCCACATACTGAAAATTATAGAAAATGATTCAAATCTTAAAAAAGTATTTTCCTCACCACCAGTCATGGCCTTCAGAAGACCTAAAAACATCCGTGACAAATTAGTGACATCTATATTAGCAAAGCAGCCTACTCCATCTCCTGGTTGCTACAAACAATGTGGTCGAAGGAACTGCTTGTGTTGTAAAGCTGCCAATTCAAGCAGTTCTTTCATCAGCTCCGTTACTAAACAAAATTATACCATCTACTCAAATTCCAACTGTAAAACGGAGAACTCAATTTATATATTAACATGTGACACTTGTGGCATTCAGTATGTGGGAGAAACAATGGACAAATTTAATATTCGGCTCAATAACCATCGTTCATGGTACAACACCAACAAAAGCTGTCCTCTCACAAGACATCTTCGTTCAACGAAACATTCTTTTGATAATGTTACTTTCCAAATCATAGAAGTCAACACCGAGTGGGACACAACGGCGAGAAGGAGAAGAGAAATTTTTTGGATCCACCAACTCCACACTTTAGAACCTGATGGTCTTAACGAAAAAGATGAGAAAAGATACAGGAAAGATAAAGAATAATTTAGTACACAGCATCGTCCTTTTCATCCTGTAATATTGGCCAATGGACGTTGCTAACTTCAACTACAAATTTTGTAAAAATCTTGAACTTCATCCAAATTATGTATTATTTTCAAGGCAGCTAAATTCAGGTTCAACATATACATTGAGCTGCAAAAGTTTCTTATCATCTACATCCGATTTCACCTGGATAGATGCACGCTTGATAAAGCTAGTTAGTCTAGCGAAATATTGCGTTTATTTTCATCATTTTGTAAATATTTTAAACATTCTTATATTTACATACTAAATAGTGTGTTAAAATTACATTGTTAGGCAATCTATAATTTTATTTGTGTAATTGAATTAATCTCTGTACTGATTAATCCACACTCCCATAGATTTGTATGTCATGTGCTGCTATTTATAGGCACTTATATATATATATATATATATATATATTAATATACACGCCTACTAAACTTTTCTGGTCAAGAAGCTTAAGAATTGCCGCTAAACCTGATTTTTTGTTCTATAATAATTTATAAAACAAAAAGACCAACATATTCCCGATTCCCGGCCTACCTCTCAATTCCTGCTTAACGCCCCGTACTCCGGTATCCCCCCCCCCCTCGTGCCACCCCTCCTTAGCCTGGCAACCTGACCCAATCTAATACTTCGTCGATCTGATCGTTAATAATTAACAGTTGATTCACGATGCTAATCAATAACGTTTGTATTACATAAGCTAATTTTTTTCGATATTTGCATTTCATATGACATAAAAAATAATTTGCAATGAATTCGTAACAAAATAAATATTTCCCGCATATGCCAAGAAATGACACTATCCGACGATGCATCCGTGATTCTAATATCCAATTGACGAAAAAAGTAAAATCACAAAAATACTAAACTCCGAGGAAAATTCAAATCGGAAAGTCCCTATTCAAATGGCAAAATCAAAAGCTCAAACACATCAAACGAATGGATAACAACTGTCATATTCCTGACTTGGTACAAGCATTTTCTTATGTAGAAAATGGTGGATTAAACCTGGTTTTATAGCTAGCTAAACCTCTCACTTGTATGACAGTCGCATCAAATTCCATTATATTGACAACGATGCGTGAACAAAACAAACAGACATAATAGGTAAAAATGTCAAAAATAGGGGTACAGCAGTCAACATTGTGTTATAATCTTAATCACAATAAAAACAAACAAATATTTAACAAAGAAGCACAAAAAGGCATATATCAAATTTAACAACCTCATTCGTTGTTTACTTATTTTTGTATTTTATGTATGTTAAATCCACCCATAAAGGATTGAAAGATTTTAAGTACTGGGACCGAATGGTTAGTTTAACATTAAGTCTGACGTAGAATCGCGCGTTTGACGTCAGAATGTAAACGTCACACAGGTAGAGATATAAAATAATTTTGTCGTTCAAAGTATACAAAAATTATAATAGAACAATAACACAATGGCGGGATGTTTAAGTACAGCATATGCCACTATTCCAGTCATAATTACGTTCGATAACTCTGCATGTTACTGGTTTAATTAGGATTATGTAAAATTTACTGGTTACCCGTGTGATAAATGATTTAGAAAATTGAAAAATATAGTTATTTCACCTCGGTTACCATCCGCTCGAGGTTTTCTTTTATTAATATAAAATAATATCGTTAAATAATTTCATTAAGAATCGGACAATACTAATCTACATAGGTCACGATTAGGTGCCATGTTTGTTTTCTTTGATCACGTTGATGTTTTGACTTAACATCTCCTTAATCTAGCTATGTCCTTGTGTATTAATATAGTGACAATAACGTGTCATATTTAATTGCAACAAAACAGTGAAATTAAAATGAATTATTTGCATGGGCAAAATTAGTGTCGAACATCGTCTACGTTTAAAAATTATTTGGCCGCTTTCCATTATATTGACAACGATGTGTGAACAAAACAAACAGACACAATAGGTAAAAATGTCACAAATAGGGGAACAACAGCAACACGAACCCCACCAAAAACTGGGGGTGATCTCGGGTGCTCCGGAAGGGTAAGCAGATCCTGCTCCATATGTGGCACCCATACTCTATCTCTATATTTATATAGAGTCATTTCAAGGCTTTCGATGTCTTTGTGTTTAGTCTTACATAAATCAGGCCTTTAGTTTTTTTCGTTTGAATTGTTTTACATTTGTCAGGGCCTTTTTTAGCTTACTAGGCGTTATGGATTTTGATCATTGTTGAAGGCCGTACGTGTGTACTTCTATCTCATTCGGTCTCTGATAGATAGTTGTATCATTGGCAATTATACCACATTTTTTTATTTTCATATTAGTAATTTTAAACAACGATTATTAAAACAAATTGTTTAATTTTCAGAAATACTCATCATTGTTTGTGAAGAAGCATCCAAAAGGTCGTATACCTTTTAAACAAAGACCATAAACATTAACGACAGGACTGTGAAGTAACAAAAGATGGGGTAAGTGTGTCCGTTTTTATTCCTGTTTCAGGCAAATTTATAAAATTACAACCTCATCTTTTGATTTTAGTTTTAGCGTGCATGTACTTTGCGTTCAAATCTTTTGTCCATTCATGTCGTTAACGTTAAACCCGTACATTAATGTTTTGTGTAAAATACATTAGGTGTCATTTTAAATAAAGGTTTGAGCGTATTGTCATACAAATCATCAATTTTTTAAGATCATTTTCTGATTAGAGTTAATTAATTTTGTCCTTTGAAATATTCATTCATACTGTACACGATATTATCGAAATAGGACTGTTCAATTGAACAAATTAATTGTCTACCTTAAAATTAGATAGTTACGGGCAATAACCATTAAGTTTTAAACAAAAGACAAAAGCACGCGTACGTTAGATAGGTATAAATCTCGACAGGATTGAACTTGTATAACGCACAACTATGAAGTTGTATACTTTTTTACATTTCTTGAAGTTTAAGAATATACCTAAAACGCCATCAAAAGATACCATGTATTGCTATTTGCTGCTATGTATTCCTACATTGCTGTCATGTTACATTCAAAATTATTTTGTAGATCACTTTGAGTTCTCCCCTATACACCACAGTTGTAATACCAAACTTGTTGGTATTTTCTAACCTATGAATTGTTTCTTTATTCCTCTGGCCAGCATCACCAACAAATCTAATTATCCAGATAATTCTTCTCTCACACGCATTACCCTTCTCTTTACATTATTATTGTTAAGCCTGCAATTGTAAGACTTGGTTTGTGCTCTAATGGAAATCTGTGTATTGCTACTACTTATAAATAAGAAGATGTGGTATGAGTGCCAATGAGACAACTATCCATCCAAGTCACAATGTGTAAAAAGTAAACAATTATAGGTCCAAGTACGGCCTTCAACACGGAGCCTTGGCTCACACCGAACAGCAAGCTATAAAGGGCCCCAAAAAGACTAGTGTAAAACAATTCAAACAGGAAAACCAACGGTCTAATCTATATAAAAAACAAGAAACGAGAAACACTTATGAACCACAACTACAAATGACAACCACTGAACAACAGGCTCCTGACCTAGGACAGGTACATAAAATGCAGCGGGTTTATACGTTTTAACAGGCGCCAGCCTTCACCCTAACCAGAAACAATGGTATAACATGACAACATAAAAAGACACACAACAAAATATCAATTGAAATGGCTTAACTCGATCAAAAAGACAATACACAAAAACAAGTTTGATCTATGACACAATATAAATAAAAATGATGTTTCAATGTCAAAAAGACAAAATTTTAACCTAGGACAAAATGACGTTAAATAAAATAACGTACACAGGTACATTTCAATATAATAATTTTGTTGTTAGGTGTACAGAAACATTTTTTACAAAATAAATTTGTTATTCATAGTTCGAGTACACAAGTAAAAAATTTTCGTCATACTAAATACTTATCAAAGGTAGTACATATTAAAAAATATTAAGACGAGATATAACACAAAATAAGTAAACATTGAAAAACAGAAATGCATTACAATTTGTGTACCTCTCTTTCTTCTCAAGTAATGTTTTCTCATCTACTGAATTTGTACAATGTGATATTGTTTTTCTATGAATGCTGTTCATTGCAGTTACTAAAAAAAAGTCTGTTCGGCATGTTCTTATTAGGTTTTCCATTAAGTATAATATATTCTGTATGTTGTATTTACTTTACGATTGCTAACAATAAGGAGAAAATGAGAGTATGACGATGATCTTGAAAAATAGAATTAATCAAAAGTAAAATGCTCTTTGAACTGTCAGTGAAATTCACTAAAGGACTTCGACAATGAACTTCAAACCCCACTCCTTGGGGCAAATTCAAAACGACGCTTTCAGTCCAATTGCAGCAGTACTTTTCATATAAGAATAATGAGACATAGTATGATTGGCAATGAGACAACTGTCCACCAGAGTCCAAATGATGTAGAATCTAGCAACTATAGGTCACCGTATGACCTTCTACAATACCAATACCGCATTGCAAGGTATTAAAAACCCGAAAATTAAAAATGGTAAAACAATTCAAATGAGAAAACTAACGGCCTGATTTATGTACAAAACAATAAACGAAATACAAATATAATAATCAGCAACACTTGAATTACAGGCTTACTGTGCCCTGAAAAATTTTCCCACATTCTAACGATTATATACATAATAAATTCCAATAAGTAACCCCTTGATGTTGTAATCGTATCTTGTAAAAATCCAATTGAATGTCAACATCTGGGGAATATCTATCAAATAGAGGAATCCTCGTAATATGTTCCGTTGAATTCAAAGTGAGTTACTTCTAGCTTTAAAGTCACCGGCAAATATAATGTGTCCACTTTTTGAATGCAATGTTATATCTTTTTCTTGGATGTCTTAAAACATATCTTGTACAGCTTATGTATAAATGGAATATGCTGGAAGATTATACTCGTATATAACGAAATAATTTCTCTGAAGGTAAAAACTGATTTACTGAGACTATGGAAAATATATTCCACCATCCACCTAAGTTAAATTTTGTGTTTAGGTCCATATATCAGATTGAATGTCCAGGTTTTTCAAACGACATTGGAAACGACATTATTTCGTCTTGACAGAAATCATTTTTTTTTAATTTTCAGCTACTCACCTTGCCTCATTATTATTATCTTCGAGGAATTAATAAATCGGACTTCAGTCATACAGATACTTAAACAACCAAAGCGTTTGTTAGCAGTTTTCGCTTTTTTAGTGTTCTAAAGTCAGAAATAAACTAACAATCTTCCAATGCACAAGAGTATCAGACATAAGTAGGTATCTCCGAATTGAATTTTCCTTTACAAATGTTTAACAGGGTCATAGTTTGTCTATGTATTCTTTACAACTAGAAAATGATTGCATTCATGTGATTCACATCAAATTGAAGTTAAAGGCAATTCACTTTCAATTTAATACATATAAAGTCTGCCTCGGTTCGGAAGGTATATGCAATCATAGCTGTTAGACCTAATACATCTAGGCAATTATCTCGGTATGTATAGTGTCGGCTGGGGTCGTTTTTTTCAAGTAATTTGGTACAGTTTTTTCCAGCGTGGTCAAGTTTTTTTCTCGAGTAAATATGATCTAAAATGTTAACACATACATTTCCGTTCTGAAAAGACGTGAAACATATGCTTGAACTAATATACCAGATCATATAAGGTAATTTAGTATTTGTAATAAAAAAGATATTATCGGCCATACATCATGTTGTGTTGTAAACGTTTCATTTAACCTTATTATTTCAAAATAAAAACCTTTTTATAATATACGAATTCAAATATTAAAGGAAATGTATACATGGGATCTCTATATCTTTAGGTATAAAGACACTTTACAAAAAAGTTGCATTAATCACAATTAATTTTAGAGCAGTTCACTTTTTCCGAGTAGCATCTAGGTTTGATTGAGTGAATAAACAAAACTCCGACTGATTGAAATGATCTAATACATCGCTTGGTCACAGGTAAAGCTATGTTTGGATACATCAAACATGTCTGTGCCCATGTAAGGACTGTTCACATCATGCACGTTTACTGTATGCAATCCACCCCAGTTAACGTGTACTTGGATCGATCACACATAAAGTACCATGATAGCTTCATTTCCATTAGGGAGAGGTGACTGGATGAAAATTAAAAAAACATGATTTCTGTCAAGACGAAATAATGTCGTTTCCGATGTCGTATGAAAAAACTGGACATTTAATCTGATATGTGGGCCTAAACACAAAATCTAACTTAGGTGGATGGACGGTCGCTGCAACTAACCGACCAACAGACCGTCCTACGGTTAAACAAAATATTGTAAATTTAGATGTCTTATCTATGTCGGATTGATCAAAACTAGATGATTGTATCCTTTTCTGGTGTTCTATTTTAACGAGTAAGAATAGCGATGTTTATTATTGAAATTAAAGCAAATGAGTCAAGTTTGGTGATTTGATAACTACACAGAGATATCAGTATATATTCCGGAAACATACGAGGTATTTATGACGTTTAATATCCCAATAGGAACCTAAAAATGTCATCATAACGGACGTTACTATGTGGCGTAGTTTTAATCTGCACAACAGTAAAATACAGTCAGATTCTCACAAAGGAACAAAACATTAGAGTATCCGTCATATAAACGGGCTTTTTCTAATGTAAAATCAGGCAATTTTCTCACCAAATACTGAATTAACAGCTAAAAGCAAATTCTGTGAAACTGTTTACTCGCGTAGTAGTATTCACCATATGTGGATTCTAAAAAACTCTAAAAGAACTTCTGGGTATGGTAGTTGTTATCAAGTAGTCCGTTTCTATGTATGTTGGCGTTTGTTTTTGTAGCAGTTCAGTGTTTATGTTGTTCCGTTGTTTTCCTCTTATAGTTGATGTGTTTCCCTCGGTTTTGGTTTGTGACCCGGATTTGTTTCAGTTAAATCGATTTATGAATATTGAACAGCGGAATACTACTGTTGCCTTTATTTAAATCGATCTTTCTCTGAAATCAATTCTATCATAACCTTTCAACCCTTTAAACCACCATTCCCCATGTCAAATTCAAAATCGTCTAAAAGAAATAATCCACAATGCTTTTCAATATATCGATACTGAATGGTGAATGTTCAACAAATACTTGGCACTGGAAAATACATAAAGAAAAAGAACATTATTATGTATGAAATTCATGTTACGGATATGGTATACAATGTGATAATGTGATATCACTATATATTCCGGAAATAGCCGGTTTATAAAAGAAGTTATTAATCCAAATTGGAACCAGCCTGGAATGTCACATTATATACCTTGTGTAAGACCTGAATAACATATAATATTATGATTTCAAAGGGGTCATATTAAAGCATATAAATCATTTATTACATCGGTATATTACATTATATAAAGAAGGCCAACATATGCTTGCTTGTTTCCGCGGCAAAAAAAATGG